ATATCCGGATATGAGCCCGATGAATATCCGGAAATGTGATATCCGGATATGGGTTTTGAGTATCCGGATACTAGATATCCGGATCTGGGATTCTGGATATCCGGATTTTGCATATCCGGATACGTCCAGTGAGATATCCGGATATTGCATATCCGGATATGGTCCCGAGGAATATCCGGATATTCTGAGATTTCGTAGAACAGTAGCTGTGTTGTGTGTACAGTAGGCTATTGGGGGTTTGTGGACCCTAGATTGATGAAGTTGAACTTCTGTAATTTATGAACTAAGTCAGAATCGTTGTGATTAAGGACTTATGGCTTGGTATGGAGCCTTAAGACGTAAAACGTAAGGAAAGGCGTTGTCTTTAAGTTATATGCTTGTGTTGCATTATTATTGATATAGTATTGGTCCATAACAGATTGTGAATCTGCTGTGTTTGGACTTTGAGCTGTGGACTCTTGGCTTTTGGAGTTAGTTTGCAAGGTAAGCTTTTGTGTCCTCGGTTTAGCCATGTTGTGGTTCCACCATGTCCCATGGGGGTATGGTTTATGCATGCTGTGTACATGCTTTTGGATATTTGATATGTTGATTGAACTTTACATGTAATGGCTTTTAATATGCATGTGTTGTTTCATCTTGACGGGAAGCCTGAGTATGTAGCGCCATACAAGATGGTGTACCGGGGTGAATGCAAGTGGTACTTGCACGGTGTGTAGGTGTAGACGTATACCTGCACTGTCTCTGGCCAGTAGATTAGTATTGACACACATGACATGATTATCTGCTGCATTGCATTGTTTTTGAAATGATAAATGATAAACTGTTTTGAACTTATATTGCACATGTAAGTGAGCTTGGGGTGGAAGATCCTTGAGGACTCACTGACTTACTGAGATTTCTAGATTAGAGATCTTACCCCACGTTTGGGAAATGCTTATTTCAGGATCAGGTAGTATGGGTACTGATGCCTCAGGCGGCAGGAGGCCGGAGCTTAGCTGATTATGTTGTTTCTGCTTATATGTTAGCATGACTGGATTTGGATGCTGTTTATGTTTTCCGCTATTTATGATATGTTGTTGTTGAGACTGATGTTGGGCATGTTGCCTTATTGGAGTGAGCATGGGGATTGTCCATGACACTTTCTGTTAGTACTTGTAGTTTGGAGTTGTATAAACTGTTAGATGGTCCGGTCTACGTTGATCTAGTTCCGTGACTAGAGCCACACTTATATTATCTATGTTATGAGGTATTTCAGTTAGTTGTTTTATTGCAATTACGTACATGCGATGTTTTATTGATTGATTATTAAGCAAGTTGGTAATGTTAATGGCATCATAATTGAAAAGAAAAAGTAATTCCGCATTTTAATTAAGCGCAGCTTAATACGATATTATGATAACATTACCGGATATATACGGGGTGTTACACATAGCTTCACGACTAGTTCGATTCGGGGTAGGGCAAAGATTAATGCTTTAAATCTCTTCCAAAAGTGATATCGGGGAGGATCGAACTCTTGTATGTCACTTCAATTGGTATATTTATTGATCTCTTGACTGGTGAAATCAAGATAAAGTTAATTAGACTGTTGGTGTCTAGGAAAGTGATAAAAGGCATAGTCTTAAGTTCATGGATTATTTAATTAGTCACTATTGTTTAGCACCAAAAGACTCTCATTGAATTTATATTTAACTTACCAATTGATGTAGTTAAAAGTGTCTGGAAATTCCCGATTTCTCTTAACTCTATTTTTTTTGTTTACACTCTTAACTCTAATTTAACTACAGGATACTTTGTTACCTAATATTTCTAAACTTAAATTAATCATATTTTTGGGATTACGACTTTCAACATTTATATGTGCATTTGGGTTTGTTCGTCTTTCTAGCTCAGCCAAAATTCACTCTATTTTTGAATTGTGTATAGAGAACTTTTTTTTTTTTTTTTGATTACTTTGATAAGTAAGAGACTTCTTTTACCGTGTGATCAGAGATATAAGGTGGGAATTCCTTCTAATAATATTTTCCCATACATATAAATCTCGAAATTGAACATAAAATATATGCTTAAAAAATTTAGGTTTTTTTCTTCAAATTGCCCTGTTACTTTAAAAAAAAAGATATCATTTTTTATTTATTTTAAACTTGCATCAATATCTTTTGATATTTCTGCTTAGTAAAATGAAAGAGTATTTGTTGAAGATGAGTGTCTTAAGTCAAATTTGCGCCAATTTACTATTTCATTATATGATAAAATATCTCTTTCATTCAATATTTTTCTAGTTCCCTCACATACCTTATTAGTAAGGTGGCAATTCGGGTCGACACGACACAACACGAATTTGAAATCGGGTTAAAACTTTCGACATGAACACGATCTGTTTATTTTACGGGTTGACACACCACGACACAAATAATCCGCAAACTCATAGTGTATCGCTTATTATGCGAGTTGACATGAAACAACATGACAGGAATAACCTGTCAACCTCAAAATGTGCTACTTATTATGCGGGTTGACACGACACAATAAGACACAAATAACATATTTACGATACGACACAACATAAATAATCTATAAGAAAAATAATATAGGTCAATTTGGGATTCACGGGTTGACAAGCGACACGACACAACACGACACAAATATTTTCAGTTTAGTTTTTGTCAACTCGAACATGACATAAATTTTGAAAATAGATCAACCCGAACATGAATTTTTCGTGTCGTGTTCGTGTCATGTTAGCTGGTTTTGTTGAAAATTGTCATCCTTATCACTCACACGCATAATATAGGGTCTAGGCTGACATTTTTGACTTCTGACATTTTTGACTTTTGTAACATCCTTTATAACTGGCTAGTATAGAGGACATCACATTAATTCTTAAATCTTATTTTAAATAAGAGAACGAGAATTATAATGAGATTTTAACGTAACAGATATAAAATAAGACATATGATAAAATATTCTTAAAATTTAATTATACATGCGACAGAAGTCAAGTTCACTGTTACATCTGAAACGAAATATATTATATCATCATCTAAACTGAAAAGAAACATTTCATTATATCAGTTACTCCACTGAACTCAGTACAATCTTCAAAGTCTTTAACCATAGTGTTTCATCCTACTCCAAAGCTACACATACTGGCATGGTTACTTTCTAGAAAGGATAACATAAACATAAACACACATGAGAAAAATCTCAGTAATATTGTGGTTTTCAAACTATAACCAATCTAGCCGCTTTAGCGGAAAATAGTATTCTCTCATAATATGTCTATAATAAGAAAATAATAACTTAAATAACAATCATATAAAAGAAGGGAAAAATGTTTGTCCTTTTAAATGACACAACTTGTGTCATTTCACTCTCACAAAGAGGTGGGACCCACACATTTATATTTTTTTTGTCCATTCTCTCTCCTCTTTTATCTATCTATTTCTCTCACTTAAAATGACACAACTTTACATACTTTAAAATAATACACACTTTTCCTATAAAAGAAAATGAAATCTTGAAACTACAAAATCCCATACCTTTACATACTTTAAAATAATACACACTTTTCCTATAAAAGAAAATGAAATCTTGAAACTACAAAATCCCATACCTTTATGGGTTTCTGCATACAAACATACTAAAGAACGTGTAGTCTTTACCTGAAATGACTAAAGCTCAAATCTTTGTGGGTTCTGCATGTGAAAGGTTCTGATTTGCGAAACTTAAGCCAGATAAGGCGTCCCTTACCCTATAACTGTCTAATCCCAAACCTTTGTGGGTCATTTCATATCAAAATCATTTAGTTAAAGCTTGCCTATTCTGTTAATATTCGTTTGGTACCAAACGAATTCTTTTAGTTCTATAATCTTGATTTTCATCATTCTTATAACAAATATGTGCATATCCAACAAATACACAACAATCAAAATTTAGAAGATACAATCAAATAGTAGAAGTTAAAACCAAAGTAGAAGATAAAACAAAAGAGAATAAAAAATAGTTTGCCAAAGTAACGACACCTTCATAGATTTTAAAGAAATAATTTTAAAATATCAACTTTAAATAAATATGGATGAAAAGAATAAAATTAAGAGAATAGTGTTTTCTCCCAATATTACCTTTTTCTTTTAATTCCCCCACTTCCTTATTCTTTATGTCGCTCTTTCTCCTTCCTCCTTTTCCCCGCTCTTTTCTCTTTTTCCCTTTTTTTTTTTCTTTTCTTTCCCCCGATTTTTCTTTCCTCTCTCCCAATTCTTCTTTTCTCTCAATTTCGTCTCTTTTCCCCCTGTTTTCCTTTCTTTCTTCTTTGTTTCCTTTCTCAAATCAGGGGTATATATATATATATATATATATATATATATATATATATATATATATATATATATATATATATATATATATATATATATATATATATGGAAATACAAGAATTATGTTGCTCTTGTGGACTTTATAAGCTATAAGCACACACTTCTTCCTGTGGTCATAGACCTTATCTCGGATGCGAATAACTTATATTGTTTCTTTAAAAATAAAAATAAAAACCATGTATTATCGTCAAATTGATTTGAACATCTACTTTCATCCAATGCTCCAAATCAATATTGATATAATAAAAGTATAATATAATCAAATAAATTTATATTTTTCTAAACTTGAAAATATTTAATAAATATTTAATCCTTATTAAAAAAAATTATTTTAAAGTAAAAAATATTTTCTTTCACAGTTCTTCAAAATCAAAGAATATTAGAAGCATTTAATAAAGAGTATTAAATACTATTACTCAACGTTTTTATAACACTTATTAACTAGACACTTTAGTTTTTAAGTAATTAAAATGATTTGTAAAAGATATTATTTCTTAATCATGGGTAAAGAAAAAAAAAAGAAAAAGGAAAACGACGTCGGATAAATTCCCAACATATCATTACCCCTTCTTTATTGGAAACCCCTTGCGCCTACTAGGGTTTAATCAGCGAAAGCCAAACACCACCAATCCTCACTTTGAAGCCACTGAGTTTTGATTCCGATTCTGTACAATTTTGCATTGGATATATTGCCCAGATAGATAACAATGGCCAACCAACACAACAACGGGTCGGGGCTTGACCCGAATCCTATTGGGGTGGAGACACCGGAGCCTGAGACTGAAAAGTTTGGAACTTCTGGTTGTGCTATTCCTATTGGGGTGGAGAGAAAGGAGCCTGAGACTGAAAAGTTTGGGTCTTTGGATTGTACTATTCCTATTGGGGTGGAGACAAAAGTGCTTGAGACTGAAAAGTTTGGGACTTTGGATTGTGTTATTCCTATTGGGGTGGAGATACAGGAGCCTGAGACTGAAAAGTTTGGATCTTTAGATTGTGCTATTCCTTTTGGGGTGGAGACACTGGAACCTGAGACTGAAAAGTTTGGGACTTTGGAGTGTGAAATTCCTAGTGGGGTGGAGTCAATGGAACCTGAGACTGAAAAGTTTGGAACTTTGGAGTGTGAAATTCCTAGTGGGGTGGAGACATTGGAGCCTGAGACTGAAATGTTTGGGACTTTGGATTGTGCTATTCCTAGTGGGGTGGAGACATTGGAGCCTGAGACTGAAAAGTTTGGGACTTTGGAGTGTGAAATTCATAGTGGGGTGGAGACATTGGAGCCTGAGACTGAAAAGTTTGGGACTTTGGATTGTGCTATTCCTATTGAGGAAGGTGTGGAGAAAATCACTTTAGTGGGTACCTCTCTCACAGTTGAGGAGAATGGTAATATGGAAGAAAGTGAAAGTGAAAATTCAGACTCTGAGTGTTCTTCTTCTTCTTCTGGCAGCGGAAGCAGTAGTAGTAGCAGTAGCAGTAGCAGTGATAGTGACGATGATGATGAGGAGGAGGAGGAGAAGAAAGGGGAAGTTGAAGAAGGCGAGATAAGTGGTTCTGATGGAGATAAGATGGTTAGTTGGGGCATTGTTGATGATGATATTAATGATGATGATGATGTTGCTGTAGGAGGACCTATCAGGTCAAACAATGAGCTTCAGGTATTCCTCTTTTTTTCTTTTAATTTATAAAGTAAATATTTGCTAATTTGATTATATTGTGCTTCATTGGGAATTATAAGGTTTTTTAATGACAATTAAGTTGTCAACTATTTGGTGATTCAGTTCTTAAATGTTAGTGACAGAGGCACTTTGTGCATATATTGATTTGTTTGAATTTGATGACAAATTTTGCCATTTATTGTTGCCACACAAGTTAGAAGTTATGGCTTTGAACGGTTTGACCTTTTAGTTTGAAGCTTTATTAAGAATTTAGAATTGAAGGAAGTTAAGAATAAGAAATTTTGGAAATCTCTTGACGCTTTATACAATACACAAATATAGGGTGAAGAATGCTTTATATTCATGACACACACTGGTTGTGTGCTATCGTGCAATTTTATTTTGCTTTTGGGCTTTATTTTGAAAGGTGTTAACTTTGCAGAATCTACCTCCAGTTCCTCCGGTTGATGTGACCCTAGAACCACACCATCAAATGCTGCCAGTGGGAGTTGTTATGTCGGTAAGCTCACTCTCTAATAAGAAAAGCAAAATAGGCATTCCAGTCATGTTTGCAAGTTTAGTTTCTTTAGTTGCTTGGTGACCCCCTATCTGTTTAAATTAAGTGTTTGTTACTATATTAGATAATAATATGACTAGAGAAATGGATTAGAAGGGGTACCAATTATTGTTGAAATCAGCTTAATCAAGTTTCTCATTTTACAGGTTCTTGGTGCTCAAGTCATTGTGGAAGGAGTGGAGAAGCATGAACCTCTTAATGAGGGTTCTATTCTCTGGTTGACTGAAAGCCGAAAACCACTAGGTTTAATTGATGAAATCTTTGGACCAGTCAAAAACCCTTATTATGTTGTGAGATACAATTCTGAGAATGAAGTCCCTGCGGGGATTCATGGGGGAACCTTGATCTCATTTGTTCCAGAATTTGCCAATCATGTTCTTAATAACAAGGATATTTACGTGAAAGGGTATGATGCATCTGGTGCGAATGATGAAGAGTTGTCTGATGAAGTAGAGTTTTCAGATGATGAGAAAGAGGCTGAATACAAGAGAATGCAACGAGTGACAAAGAGAGGCATAAATGATCAAAATCCTGGCAAGAGAAAAAACAATAGAAAGAAAGTTTCACCAAAAGAGCATGTGGTACCTACCATTCATAATGCACCTGCAACACCATTTATTGATCATGGAAATTGTTCACCTTTTTCAGGCATTGGACAAGGTCATTTTAGGGGAACTACCACATTTCCACCCTCAAATGCAGGTCCTAACTTTGCTACAAATGGTGTTTGGACAAACAGGACATCACTTCCACAGCAGCCACAGCCGGTCATGCTTCCTAATGGATTTCCTACAAATAATGGCATACCATGGTACCCACAAAACACTCAAATCTCTCATCAGTTGCCTGTGCCACAAGGAAATCCATTTCAACAGCAATTCCATCCCAGTCAAGGATCTCTTTCCACAAATTTGCTGCCTGGGGCACAGGCCAATATATTAGCACAGCTATTGTATGCACAAGGGCTTGTGGGTCAAAACCAACTGACATTTGGGTTGAACTCATCCTTCCCACAGATTCAGCCAACTATGTGTGCTGCACCACAGGGTTTTCCATCTACTGAATTGCAGTCAGAAAGAAATCTTAATTTGCATTCTAGTACTAATTCTGGCGCCCCCCAACAATTTCATCAAGGTTCATCTGCTAGGCGTGGGAGAAAAACATTTCGTGGTGGGGGTAGGAAAGGGTGGCGACCAACCAAGTGAAGGTTATTGTGTGCTCTACTGCACATTGAAATAATTTGTGGAGTTGGACCATGTTGCAAGGACTATGCTTGTACATTTTCATGGAAGCCTCTCTTGAATATTGAAATGAGTTCGTTGAGCTCCTAAACTTTAGTTACAGGTATCATTTGTATTTGAAAGTGTCTTGAAATAGCTTGGTGCTAATTATCTTGTTTGTCTATTGGATTAACTGAAGGATAGCTAACGAGAGCACCTTCCACTTTCATTGCACTGAAGATTCAACCCAATATAATATTATGTCACCATACTCAAGCCAGAAGTCCTGTTTATTTGAAGCAACGGTATATAAACTAGTTCTAATCTTAAAGCAGATGTATCTGCCACATCATGTACAATTTTCTTTCCGTTATGTCAATGTTATTTTGTACTCCTTTAACTACAACCTCCAAAAGGCTTTTACATGCTCAATCCTATATTGCACTAAGATAGTGCAATATAAGTTTGCCTTTCTTTATCTTTATTATTCCTTATTATTGGAAAGTTCTTCAAATCTGGCTACGACCCACTACTGTATTGCCTTGTCTAAGTGTGAACTTTGAATTTTTTGAAACCTCACAAAATCTGCGTCCGCCATTGGGTAAAAAGGATAGAGTGAGTGAGTCTCAAACAAGATTAAACCTGGCTACAAGCTGTAGAAAGCGTTCAAACTCAAAAGACTAGAGCAACCCCTCGTGTTTAAACAATAAAATGTTGTATTAAAAAAGCACATTCATAGAGGACCAACATGTCCAACCGTCCAAGGACTACATGGGCTTTATTGAGCTCCGAATAATTTCGACTAGACAATAATTGCCCCAAAAACAAGGAACTGGTCAGGTGTCTATATTATGGTTCGGTCACCATCAATGGGATATCAGATCAGTACTTTATGCCATTCATTTAACATTTTTTTCTCATATGATATATAATATATAACCAAACATAAGGAAAGAGAGAAAGAGAGAGGCACATTAGAAACATTGTGAAAGAGAATAAATTGCTAACATTGAAATTTATGACCAGTCAATGAGAACAATGAATGCGGAACTCAGACTGGTAATGTTCAATTAGGAAATAAAACATTCCTATAGGCATGAATAGCCTATATGAATAAGAGTGAATATGAGAACTCGGAAACACAATATGGAGGACTCAAGCTTTTGCATTGCTTGTAAAGTCAGTACAAGTTTGGCAGCTGCAATCTGAAAAACGGCAGATATCACACCCAAAGCACACACAAGAAGTGCAACCTTTGCATGTTGGAGAACGAGTGCATCCCCTGTAAACTCTGCGACTTGCTCGTTCTTCTTCATCATCGCATGTGATTCTGAAAAGTTACTATTAATAATTGCTCCATAAAAATTATAACTATGTAGTTTTGGTACAGGTGAACATACAACAGTATAAACATGAACAAGGCACACATGCTCCAAATAGTAGTACAAGTTCAATTCTTGAGGTTATGTTAAGAAAACAACTGCATTCCTCAAGGATTGTGCCCAAAAATTGAGTTTTATATCCTGAACCCTAAGTTGATAGTTCCCATATAAAAAGACAGTAAAGCAAACAGAAGTTTGGTGATCCATATAATTTACAGCCATGCACATAGTGAAAACAAGCCAGTGCTGTCAAACTAGACCTATTGAATCAACTGAAATAAATGATAAGATGCTTACGGAAAAATATTAGTGACAAAAAGTTCTTGAGCAAGATTGAGAAAAACCCAAAGTTCTTGTTGCTGACAGAGACAGACCACAAGTGACATAATATACAGGCATTGTATCTGAGTAATCCTTTTAAGAATGATATTCCATGCTAGATAAAACGAGTAATACATATCATAATGGTATATTAGAATCAAATGAACTTTGTGTCATCCCGGAGTTACACTAGCAAACCTTTCACAAAGATTGAAACTCAATCCATTCTAGGAAAAAAAACATGGAGGGAAACTTGAACCCCAGAAAAATGATAAGAAAAAAAGTTATACAGAGACTTCTGATTATGTGTTCGGATAGATGCTAAAGATATATATTTTAGTATCATCACAAAAATCTACTATTCTCTCCAGGAATTAAAAAAAGTCATATCATTAAAAAACGAAGTCAAGTATAAGTCTATCCGTTTTGCTTGCTTTACCCCATCATACCCCATCCAAAAAAGAATGAGCTAGATGGAATCGAACACAAAGACTAACCCAAAATCACATTGAAATAGGCTTGGAAACACCAGTACAAGTACCAGTTCAGATAATATAGCTTAATAACATAGAGAAATTTGTTTTCTTTCAAGCTTTAAATCAATGTTTTGTACCAACCATTTATATCCCCAAGACCCCAACCTATTCTCAGTGCAATAAAAGATAGCTTAGAGATACAGGCTTGAAAGGCAAGCAGTGTCAGGTCAATGTAAGACCACCAGTTTTGTCACTACCATAACCACCATTAGCAATAAATCATAACTGTGTAAGACTGTAAGAGAATCATTATCATAATTACTATTTTACACTTAGAAAGCCAAAGGTTTTGAAATAGTGGCGTTTTATGTGAACAGAAAATCACAGGAAAAAAAAAATACTGGAAAAGTCCCTATATCAATGGATTTTACTCCATAACTAATTTGAATGGAGTCCCTATATCAGTCCCATTAACCATACCTAGACCTACTATTTTTCTACAATATATCGATAACTAAATTGTGCCCAAATGTACTGCCTCAGGAGAAAATCTTCTTTTAAATAATTGCCAAAAACTTAACAAATGTGATTTGCTACACGAAGCTATTCAATCTATAGCAAGCAAAAGATCACTTCACAATGTTGAAATGATCATTAACCATTCTATTTCAAATTTTCAATCCAAACATTCTTAATTGTAGACTCTTCTATCATGCACTGCGGTTGCACTCTCATCATTATCCTGACATTTACTCTGTCAAATGGCAGCTTAAGTGAATTTATGTCCCTCTGCCATTTCCAATCCCTCTATGATTCCACAACACATAGCTGCCGGCCAAATTGAAATGTTGTTACTTATGCACTTGTAACAATAGATGAAGCATTTAAGTCTGTTAAACAAATTCAACTAACTCTTGAACACATTATAACCAAAACACATACAAATATTTTAAAATTTGCTTCAAGAATCTTTAATTTCATCACTAAGTTGGTACTAAATATTTTTCAGAATCAGATCAGTTTAAGCTCTTCCAGCTTGAGGCATACATGATAGCATCACCATGACGCAGTAGCTTTAAGAACTAATTAGCATACATGGATACTAATAAAATATTATTATACGCCAAATTTTAACGATAAAGAGATAAAATGGATTTAACAATTATTTATCATAGTTCCAGACTTCCAGTTACTTGGTAACATTAAAAGTTCATACGTAGCCTGACAATGCAAAAAGTTCCACATCAATGTTACATAATTTCTCAGACATAAAGACAGTACTAAGATATGCCTGCTGAAATTTATAAATAATCTAAGTCCAATCAAAGATGAAGCAATGATACTGTAGTGAGGTGTAAAGTAAAAAAAACAAGATATCCTAAATTAAGACCATATTCAGTTACTAGTACAGCACTCAGCAAATTAGAAAGGCTTGCTTACTAGATCTTCAGATCCCACCCATGGTGTTAAAAAAAAAGAAAGAGGAAAGATAAAGTTATTGGCTAGAATTGGAAAGTGGTCATACACATTACACCATAGCCATGCATCAATATACATGCTATTTGGTGTAAACAAAATTCATTTAAAGTATGGTGAATTTATGAACACTAATCCAATAGACGTACATTATTAACACCAAGTCACCAACATTAAAAGCATGACTTGCTGACTAGTTTTTTAGTTCCTGGTGAAATTGCATAATAAGAGAATAAACTTACTTGTCATATGGTAGATCAGAGCATTTCCAATTTGCATCTGCCATAGCATCATGGTGAATGCGGCATTCCTCTTTAGTCCTCAGACGGAACCTACACTCTTTGTTGCACCTGGTACAGCGAACAAACTCATCACGGTGACAAGCCCGGCCATTTTGGGATCTATGGGAGCCATTAGCAGCTCTTGACACTTGATTGTAGTATTTGAGCAGCACTGTTTTACACAATGGAACCTTCTCGCCATTAACTATTACCCAGACATTATTCTTCCATTTCCTGGCTGTCTCTCTTCCAGAATGTTTCTCAAATGCAGAAGGAGTCAACTTGTCTAACAATAAAACACCATTATGCAAATAAAAAGGCCATGAAGGAGAAGAACACCATTTTAAACAAAATCTTCGGATTCAACAATGGATAGCATGCAAGTTAAAGAATCAAAATCAAAAACAAGTTTTTTTTTCTTTATGAATATATAAAGCACAGTAAAAATACACAATAGCACTACAAAGCTCCAGTGGCAAGATATCAAACTATAAACAAAACCCAATTATTAATATTGATTTAAAAGTCCGGTGAGGGTAATTATAATGGATCATCTAGCCACGTTGTCCAACGCATTCATGAATAGATTCACATAAACCAAATAAAGTATTACTCATCTCCCTCAAAACTCCACCAGAGGGCTCAAGAAATCTTGTTCCTTTTTTTTGTGAGTAAAAATTCAGAATTTTTTCCACTCTTAATCATATGATCTCTTCCCTAGTTGCTGATCTCTCAGTGCTTTCAAATTAATCATGATGACATGGTACAAATTCTACATCAATATTAACATCACCTGGGTTTGCCGTTGATGACATGGTATAATATTACTCTATGAAAAATTATTTTCTTAAGTCAGTATTTCATGTATAATTTGGTGAATTAATTACTTAAATGCATCTCACGCGGTGCTAATATACCATCCTGCAGTGTGGCAAACAAGATGTTGAAAGTAACTATCATTACTTTGTGTTTAAATCAGTAAATCCTCATGCATCAGCAGAGGTACTAGTCCTTCTGCCTGAAAAGATACTCTACTAAGTCCTACCTATACAACATATCAATGTGCAAGCAAAATAAAGCAGGCGCTGGATACATGGAAAAAGTACAACTTGAAAATGCATATGAATAGTGACTGAAAGGATTAGATTCCAAGTCTGCGGAACGCACCCATTCAACCCAATCCCCAACAAATTAAAAGCTACCTAAGTGGCATGAATATATGCTTCCAATGGCCCACTCCAAATACAAATAAAGGTCAATCACACATAACATAAGAGAATATGCATGCCATCAAAGACAAGAACAAAGCATATAAGCAAAATGCATTATATACTATAGACTAACAGTAACACAACCATAAGATCGTACCATAGTCTACTCTGCCAAACAGACTTCAATGACTTTCAAGAAATATAGAGTAACGAGATCGCATCTTAACTGTAATGGTTATGCTATGTTATTAAATACGTGCAAACTATAGAAAGGTCTCCTTCATCAAGAAACAAACCATGTTTAAACTCACAAAAAGACACAAAGTTAATTAAGAATTTTCCACATTTGCATATAACAAATATTCCTCCAGCCCGATCGTGTAGTATATCAAACCAACGAGTTCACTGCGACAAATCAACATACACTTCACTGTCAACTGAACAACACAAACTCTCAACCCAAAGCAGATCAAAACAACCCCATAATGATACCCATTAACGTCAAAACTCACCTCTACACATACTATCAACATGCACATAAACACAAAAAGACACAAAAAAAGAAACTCATCTTTAGAGAGAGAGAGAGAGAGAGAGAGAGAGAGAGAGACCTTCCTGGCAACCAGGGGTGCATTCACAAGTGATTTCGAGGTACCCATTAACGAAAACCCTAAGCCTTCCAACAGCGTCACCGTATCTATGGCTAGTACACCCACACGTCACTTCAACATAGTCACCAGAACGCTTCACCCCACTCACCTCGCTCAACTCTTCGTCGCTGAACATTGCCAACCCACTCTCTCTCTCCAACTCATTCGCCATTTTCTCGAGAAAAAGACTCTGTTTTTAGCGAGAAAACGAAGTGGGTGTAAAATCGAATATCAAGGATGCGCTCCAAATAGACGGGCTTTTTCGCACGAGATGGAGATACCCAGAAACTCAACTCCGAGAAACGAAGACCCAGAACCACGTCGATCCTAGAGATCTGGGATAGAAGCGTTGAAATACTAGAGAGAGAAAGTAAGAGATAGAGAGTGGTTGCGATGGGGTTGAATGAATATAATGAGCTGGCGTAGCAAAACCAATGTTGTGAGGTAGTGAAGAGGGGTTAAAGGCTTAGGGTACCTACTTGCATGATATGACATGAGAGAGAATATGATATAGAGAGAGAAAGAAGAAAAGTTTATAGGAAATCCTCTCATGTAACGAGAGGTTTTCGATATTTGTGTGTGTATTTTTGTTTTTGTTTTACTAATTTTTATTTTATTTTTTTGTAGTTTGCATTGTGCTACTGTCATCATCAGGGGTCAGGGTTTCTATCTTGATATATATGATCTTGCATTAAAGAATGGAACAGATTGAGTTTGGTTAGATAGTAGACTTTTGAAAGAAAAAAAAAAAGGGGGAGTAAAAAAAAAAAAAGCTGGGGTCTTGGAAGTAGAATCTGATTCTCTTCTGCATAAACTGCAATTTGTTATACGATAAGATTGATGCGAGCTTGTAAAATGATTTAATGACAAGCAAAAGGGATTCAGTTCAACTTTAAGTGGTTGCAATGTAACATAGAAGTATATATAGAAGTAGAACTAATGATATACTGATATTATTATTAGGATTAATTAATTTGGTCCGATATATATGTAAATGATTATGGTGACAGTAACCGAGATTTATACGTTCCAACCTTCAAGAGATATTATTATATGCATTCAGAATTTAAATCCACCGATTTATTGTTATCATGCTCTTTTCCAATAAAGGGTGCACAAAGTATACTACTCCAAATCAGGATACTCTGATGACCGATATACACTGACCAAGAAAAAAGTGACGAGTCTATGCCAAAGACGGTTACCACATTGACAAAATTTATTGGAGGTGGCTTAAATTTTTGGGTGAAATAATTGCTTTATATGTTATTGGAGAGCACATCAGTTTATAAAATTCATTGTCTCATTCTAATAATAAAAAATAATTAAATATTATAAAATTTCTTAATACAACTAAGGATGTGAGAGGATGTGTTGGAGTAATAAAACTTATTAAAGGTTCATCACTTAAAGCTTAGATTTTTGGATGAAATGGTTGATTTACACATATAAGCAATTGTAATTTTTCCCATTTTTGTTTTGATTACTATATCAGACGTTACTCTAGCCACAACCGCCATGGTGATAATATCTGGTATATATGTCAAAACTTCTAACAAGGTGAAGAAGATAATAGATTCTATTTCTACCCCCTTATACGGCAGAAAACTTCTTAAGCACAGAACTTAAAATGTGTGAAAATTTCATTCGAGACAAAATTTGGTAAAGTCTTTATTTGAGAACTTGCTATAGACATACTGAATAAAGTTGTTCTCAACTCTTTACCGGGACTCGATCAAAATGGCGTGGTAGTTTATCAAAGGAATATGCCTTTGACTTAATCAGATACATGAAAATCTTGAAAGAGAGAGTTGAAGTTCTATTGATTACTCACTAGAATATAAACTTTAATATAAATATTCGTTGCTGCAAACTGTCAGAAACAATACTTTTAATTTTTAAAGCTCTGATTCTGTTTTAGTTGCCATTTCATATTGTAGGAGTTTAATACCCAAAATTTGTGTTCCCTTTCTCGTACACTATTTCTTAAAAATGTAAACCATGATAGTTACCCAACACAAGTAGTAATAGAATTTTGGTTGCATTTTTAAAGACTGAGGCCTGTTACCATTTTTCCTCAAATGCACATCATGTTAATACCCTAAGTATAAAGAAACCAATTAATTTATATTTGGCCTTCAAAATATTGCCCGTTTAACATTGTAAGAGAAGCTCCAACCACCACTACTAATTGCAAATAGTAGGTAACTGGTTTAGTCTCCTAGTATGTTCTGCAACTAAAAAGTGTAGGCAAATAGTGTGCCATTATGTGGATTTGATTCTGGAGCATATTTAGCATTGAGAGGAGCCGTTGATTATGAAATATATGATATAATATGATATTGGGCAATTATTTGGTCTCGGCTACTCTTAACATATATAGTCCCACATTGGTTGTATGTGCAACTAATGTGGAGTTTATAAGGTCTTGGGCACTCCCACCCTTTGAGCTAGCTTTTGGGGTGGTGTATCCCAAGGTTCTTTACATGGTATCAGAGTCTCGCCGCCCCGCCTCTCACTTTCTCTTGTGGCATTTCTTAGCACAGGTAGGCTGGGCCTGTTGCATTGTCCACTCTTCAAGCCCAATGGGCTCTTGTGTGAGAGGGCTTGTAGTTTATAAGGCCTTGGACACCTCTATCCCTTTGAACTCACTTTTAAAGTGATGTATCCCAAAGTTCTTTACAGCTACAAGCAAGCGACCAGAGATTGAAAATGCAGGGACATCTTTATCTTCGAAAGTTACTTTTGGTGCAGTACATGATTTTTAACTCTCAATTATGTAATTTACATAGTCCTGCAGGTTGATTGGGCCCCCTATAGATACGGAAGGGCATGAACTTCTGTTGGTGCCTCAAGCTGCTATATTAATATACCATCATGATTTTGCCAAAATGCACAAGATATGTATCGATTCTATTGTCTCATCTTTTATTGTTGTATGTTTGAAATAGGCCATATTGGGAAATAAAAGGTAAAACAAGTATTATTTACTGTGTCTTATCTTTTATTATGGTATGTGAAATAGGTCTTTTTTACTGTGGCATGCAATTGTGGGGAGGATATTGTAGCCACCAAGCTCTAGCGCTATTTTGCCTTCAAACAGTTATATGCACAAAACCAAACAATATTCCATTAAGTGCAGCATATATAATATCTCACAAGATGACTTTTACAACTTCTGAAAGGTCCTTAACTATTACATGCTGTGTATTTTTTTCAACGACAAAGTACTGATTATAATGATGGCACACTTTTCCACTTTAATGATATCAAACAGTGTTAGGCCTGTGTATGAATGAGTACTACTTTTCCAACATCACTTGTTGAAGACATATTCCATTGGGCATTGGCGGTGGATCATTCGGTGGCATGAGACTATTAAGAAAACGGACCATGTTAAAATCTTGCATAATTTTGACAAATGAAAATTTTATGTTTCTATCTCTTTATATAAATATTTATGAACTTTAATAAGACCTCATATATTTAATGTCCATGTAGAGATGTAAAAGAAAACAAAAAACAAAAAATTTATATTGTAAAACTATATGAAATTTTAACATTATGATAATTAACCACTTTGGATTGGTTCACCTAGGATTCTCCAGCTTGATAACATACGGTTGTCAACTTAGGTATGCCAATTTGAAACGCATCTCATTAGTCGTGTGCACATAATAGAAATTATTTGGTCACCCCCAACCTAATATTTGACATTCAAAAATAATTTCACTCTCTTACGGAATCCAATGAAAAATTTGGCATGTCAAATAAGTTAAAATGGAAACACATGGTGCGAGGAGCGTAAGTCATTAAGACTGGAATTGAACTCAAATAGTGTCACACCACTACTAGTATACCTACACGCCACACTTGGTCGGCACCTACCGTAGGTACCGTGACCTACGCAACTGCAAAAAGGACAGCCATGTAGCATGAATTTTCTGCTTATTTAACTAGTTAGGTCCACACAAGAATCCGTGTGAGTTTTGACAATATCTGAAGTAAGCTGCACAGAGCTTTGCTTAGTATATCAAACGATAATACTTGGTGTACGAAAATTGAGTAGATAGTAAAAAAAAATTGGTTTCATTCCCACTAATATTAATTTTTGAAAAAGTATAAAATCTTAATTAATGGCCTATCTTATGTTTGAAATTAGTCTCATAGTCGATTCAAAGAGTAAAAATTTGTAAAAAGACTCAAAAGAATCTACTTGTCTTAAAGAGATAATCATGAATGGTATCCAAATTTTAAATTTCACCTGATTTCAAATTTTAAATTATAGCAACAAAAGAGTTCAGGAAATTTTGTAAGAGGTGTGTGTGACTAAAGCAAGATTTGCACTAATTTATATATCACAATACGATAATGGGTTGATAGGTAGTTAAATTTCAAAAAATAAAAAATAAAAAATTTCATATATAAAGAATTTATGATCGTTTCTCCATTAACATAAAGACAAAATAATCTCCATCAACTTCAAAATTATGTCCTTTTAAAAATTGAGGAGGGAATTAATGAAGTAATTTTGGTAAAATTCATACAAGAAATAAATTAAAATTTTTAAAATACTCTTAATTAATTCTTCCAACCTCAAAACGATATGATTTTATGATTGATGAAAATAATTTTATCTCATTTTCATAGAGAAACGATAAATCCATAAAGAATACTAAGAAGAAAGAGAATGGATTTATACTACATTATGTTTCTTTTAAATTTTAATAAAATTGAGAGGGATTATCCCCCCTCCTTGATTTTACCAATGATTCTATGACAATATGAACTATATGATGAGAACACAAGAAGGATGCAAATGTAATTTAAAACCACTGCACTATGCATAATTGTTTGTTAAAAAATTGCGATCCGCCTAAGTTTAATAGACCAGAAGGAGGCGCGAGGTTTTATAAACGTATGACATTATTATAAACCACTACATTATTCTTGTATTATTGGCTATGTGAATGTGGATCATATAATACCTAATGTGGATCATACTGTTCTTGTAATTAGGGGGCTAGGGGCCTTTGCCTTTCCATAGCAAAGAAACTATACTTATTATTATTTATTTATTTTGGTAGATAACTACACTTATTTACGTAATGATTCTATTTCTTGACACTTATATACATGCTGTACATATAAACCTAAGAAATTGTAGTTATAGTGAATAAATTTTAAACGTTGGCAGAGTTACACTATTTTAATTAAGGAGACCAAAGTAAAGAACATCAATATTGGAGACCAATTTCAATTTTATTTTATTTTTGGAAAAATTATTAAATGTAAAAAAATAAGAAATAAATATGAGAGGCTCATGTCTCTGAAGATCAGATCCACTATATATTTTTATGATAAAATATGTATTTTTAATTTATTTAAAATAAATATATTTTGAAGAAAGTTATAAAGTTAGAAAAACAAAAATAGAAAGACAAACAAATTTATTAGTTGATGAAATAAAAATATAATAAAATTTGAAGAAGAAAAAAAGATCACATGTCC